CGCCCCTCCCCCACCGCGCGGAAGGGGTGGAGGTAGGGTGGGGAGAGGGGCGGGGGGGGGGCCGCAGCGGGCGAGCGCCAGGCAGGTGAGGTTCCCGTCGCGCACCTGGCCTACGGCCTTCCGAGTGGTTTGGGGGCGTGGGCGCGCGCTCCTGTGAATCGAGGGTTGATGGAGTGACTCAGGTGACCGAGGGGGGAGGCGAGAGCCCCGAGGTCAAACAGGTGTTTGGGAGGGTCGGCAGACTGACCGGGGTGGAGGCGACGAGGGAAGGTCTCCCCGGGAGGGGTCTGGGACCAGCCTGCCTTTGTAGTAAATGGGCGTCTTGGGGAGGAATGGGCGGTTCTGGGATGAAGCAGGTGGCCTGAGAGGAGGGGCGTTTTCTTGGCCCCTGCCGACGCTAGGGAAGGAAGCGCGGCCTGAATTTCCCCCGAGGCGGGGGTAGTAGCTTCAGCCCCCGACCTGGCTGTAAGAGGTAGGAGGCGGGCACCAGAAGTAATTGCGGGGAGGGGGTAGGTGCTGGATAAAAGGCACAGCTGTGCCAGGACCTGGGTCCTTTCCTTTCTGCCTTCTGTGGCTGGATTCCTTCTTGATGTTCCATGGGAAGAGGGCCCAAATGCTGCTGGCACAGGAGGTGCCCTGGCAGGGCTGTTCCGTCCGCCCGAGGTTGCTTAGAGGCCTTCAGCCCCGTTTAATGTTTCTTTTGTTATCTCTTCACATTCTGTGCTTATGGTGGGGAACCCCGGGAGCCTGTCTCTGCCCCTTGCTGCCTCCATGCTGAGGTTCCCAGAATCCGGGAGGAGCTGTGCCCAGAGACCCATGGTGTCTGGCCATTTAGGCCACCTCACGGTCTCCAGACAGCCCTCATAAAGGAAAGGTGACAGTCTCCTGCCCTCCCTGGACCCTAGAGCCAAAGAGAGAGCTGGTTATCGGGCTGCATTTGGTCCTGCAGGGAGGTGGTAGCTGAAGGATGCACCATCCAGGCTCTGATGAGGCTGTTGGGGGTAGTGGTCCATGGGTAGCAGATGGTTCTGGGAAGTGAGCTTGGCCTTGCTGAGGGTCGGCTGCCCAGTCTGGCTGGTGGAGCCCAGCTGGCCCCAGGGTGGTTATGTTTCCGTTCAGATCTCTCCACTAGCTAAACTGACCAGAAAAACTGACTTTCTGTGTCACCTCCCCCACCCCCATGCTGTGCCTCTTATTTCCACAACAGCCCTTGGAAAAAGCAAACAAACATTTTATCTAATGCCTCTTATGTGCCATGTGTGGTGCCAGCCAGTTTTATATTTGCATTTCACTATGTTCTTAAGACATCCTCTCAGGTGAAATAATTACCCCATTTTGCAGATGAGGCAGCCGAGTCCCAGAGAGGTGAAGTGACTTGCCCCAGACCACACCAGTTGTAAAGTGGCCAAGCCAGAGTTTATCCCCAGGTCTGTCTTACTTCAAGTTCCGTACTTTTTCTATTAGATGTGCCAGAGATAGAATGGGAGAAATTCCTGTCTATTCTAGCTCATGCTTTGTTTCATGCCTGCTAGTGAGAGCGTGCCTTCGCTTTTTTAAAATACTTCCCATCTGCTGCCCCATTTTTATCCTTATAACATTCCTGTGAGGTAGGTTGAACAGGAATACAGTAATAGATACTGTTCATTAAGTGCTTCTTGGACACCACGCACTGTTCAGTGCTTTACCTCCTTTGTGCCTTGCAAACAACCCTATGAGGTTTAGGTGCTATCGTCACCCCCCATTTTATAGATTAGGATGCTGAGGCTCAAAGAGGTTAAATGGCTTCCCCAGGGTAGAACTTAAATCCATGTCTCTGGATCTATGGGTCTTATAAGCTCCAAATGTACCAAGTAACAATAATAGAGGTTACTAGGAATGGGAGCTAACTTTTACGGAGTATTTTCAGATCTGTGAACATCTTCAGGTATATTATGTCAGGGGATTTCTCTAAAGTCTTGTGAATTAGTTTTGCCATGGTTTAGCATCATCCCATTTTCCAGATGAAGCAACTGAGGTTCAGGGGGTAAAGAGGTCAGGTCAGGGGCAGAACTGGGACTAGACCCTCTGCTTCCCAAGTGTCAGTGTACCTTATGTGACCCGTTCCCGTTCCGTCTGTTCACTTGCACTCCTCTCTCCTACAGATCATCTCTCCCTGGGCTCCCAGGCCCAGCCCCCCTGCTGCAGCCCCTGCCTGGGCAATGTCTTCCTCAGATGAAGAAACGCTCAGTGAGCGGTCCTGCCGGAGTGAGCGGTCTTGCCGGAGTGAGCGGTCTTACAGGAGTGAGAGGTCAGGGAGCCTGTCTCCATGTCCCCCAGGGGACACCTTACCCTGGAACCTGCCACTGCATGAGCAGAAAAAGCGGAAGAGCCAGGACTCGGTGCTGGACCCTGCGGAGCGGGCCGTGGTCAGAGTTGCTGGTAAGAGAGGCCCGAGTGAGTGGGGTGGCAGGGTGCAAGGCAAGAGTGGGCCGCTGGCTGGGGGCGAGTGGTGGAGGGGTCCTCCTCAGGGTACTCTGACAAGCCAGCTGGAGTCCGCTTCGGCATTCCTGTTGTTGGAAAGATGATGGCATAACCTTAAAGAAAAACTTGACAGGGTAGAATCTGCCACTGCTCCTCCCTGCGTGCTAACAGGAGACCTGTTTCCATTTTTGCATCTTCTCTGCCTCTGTCCCCGTGCAGTTGCCTTCATAGCTAGCTTACGTACCATTCTGGATCTGGACTTGTTTCACTTACTCTTCTATCCAAACGATTTTCCATATTACACTTTAGGCTTTGCAGTTACCATTTTTAAAGGCTGCGTAACATTTCATGATTTAAAAAATCCTACTCACTTTCTACTTTTTCACCATAACAGACAATGCTGCAGAGAACATCTTTATGAATAATAACACTTGACTTCTGTTGAGTTATTTCCTTGGTCTGAGTCTTTGGAGAGGGCAGTCTCACTCACAATGCTTTCTGAAAATGTGGTACCCACTTAGCCTTCCTGCTGGGCAAGGGCTGGGGCCACCTGCCATAGGAGATGTCCGCTTCTCCTTTGCCAAGTAGCCGAGCATGCAGGGCAGTGGTTACGAGGACAGGCTTCGAAGTCAGAGGGATAAGGTGCCGGACGGGTGGCCCTGCTACCGGCCAGCTGTGTGGCTCTAGGCAAGTCTCTTGTCCTGTCTGAGCCTCCCTTTCCTCGGCTTAAGAATGCTTCCCGTACAGAGCTGCCTTGAGGATGAGATGAGATAATGTATGTAAAGCTCTTAGCATGGGTTTCTGGCTCAGGAAAGGGGAGGGTTGCAGAGTGCTCCCTGTGCTGCTTCCTGCGAGGGCATCCAGGGCTGCCCCCGTGGGTTGTGCTCCACGTTTCCACAGGCAGCGGGGCCAGAGTGCAGACAAAGCAGTGCTGGCAGCTAGTTCAGTGACATCACCCAGCTTCATTCCATCACCTAGGCCTGTCCTGCTCCCTCTTTTGTATCTCTAAAGTAGTGCCCCCTGCCTGCCCCTGCTGTGTCACCTTGCACCTGGACCTTCCAACCTCCAAGTCACAGTTCTCCTCCTCCAGTCCCGCCCCTCCTCCATGTGACTAACAAGAGTATTTTGTTCTAACATGAGAACCTGATCCTGTTACTCAGCTGCTTATAAGCCTTCTTTGGTTCTTCATTGCCTGTGGAATAGAGGCCCCTCAAAGTCAGGACCCTCTTGAGCTTCACCTTTTGCCATCTCTGCTTCTAAGCACTTGCCACATTGAGCTGCACCTTGACCCTGAGAGGTGTGCATCTTGCAGGATCAGACCTCCATGCTTTAGCTTTCTTCTCTGCAAGGCACTGGGAACCACCTCCCCCTCTTTTAAGTGCCGCCTCCTCTGTCCCCAATACCCCCCGGAGGTATCCAGAGCTCCCTCCTCCGCTCTGGTATTCATACTTTTCCCTCCCCTGTGTTCCCTTGTACAGTATGGCAATTATCCCCTTTCGGGGGAACCCGCCACTCCCTCAGGACTGTTAGCAATGCTGGACCGTGTCTTGCTCATGTTTTTGCCCCCAGCTGCTTGCATGGGGCCTTGTTCCTGTTTGGAGATCAACCAGCATTGAATGATTGAATGCAAGGAGCATTTCGAGGAGAATATGTGACAGATTGTGATCCAGGAACAGGCAGTGGGATGTAATGGAAAGCTAGACAGGGAGAGGGTTATGTGGGCTCAAATAATGAGGGAAGGGTTTTAGCAGAGGGTGGACTTGCAAGGAGGAGACCTGGCTGGAGAGTTTGCACTCCTTCTGTGGGCAACAGAAAGCCCTTGGAGAAAGGTCTTTGGTCCTTCTCAAGACCTTTGGGCCTGTGGCATCAGCCAGTCCACAGAGTTTCACAGCTGTCTCTAGGATGCAGGAGGGGCTTTACTTGTCTCCAGCCTTGAGAGGCCCCAGCTGAGGGTCCTCGGGATCCACAAAGCTCTCTCCTTCTCCTGAAGGCAGCCTCCTTCTCCTTCCTTATGCCCTCTAGCCCCATCCTCCACCACACATACATACTTATAGGCCCTTTTGTGATGATTTCCCTTTCCGGTCTGCTCCTTGCTCCGAGGGGCCTCACCGGATGGTTTGCCTACTGTTTAACATCCCAAGTCTGGAATAAAAGTAGAGTGGACTTGAGGGGGCTTAAGGCCCAGGCAGAGTCCCTGAGGATGCTGCTGGGTCAGATGAGCAGAGGGGTGGCGGGCGCTGTGCTGTGTCTCCGGCATCCATGCTGATCTTCTATTCAACCTGATCCTGCCAAATGACTGTCTTGAGGAGGGGGCTGGGCCGGTGAGGCTGAAAATGTGGAGACTGTCATGGTTAAAAATAACTCGTGCGCTGCAGTTGGGCGTGTTTCGTTAGCAGCAGAGAAGAGGCGGGACAGCTGCTTCAGGGCCCGGCTGAAATCTTGCTGTGATTTCAGAACGTGGTGGGGACTCTACCAGGGTAATTTAGAAGGCAGCCTGACTTCTGCGGGGATTGCTTCCTGTGAGGTGCAGGAAGGGCATGTCTGGGAGACCTGGGTGCTCTGAGGCTCTCTGAAGTTAGAACTTTCATCCTGGGAGGAAATGAAGTCAGTCTTGCCCTGGAAGCCAGCTGTGGCCTGTGCAATTTTCTCCTCCCCACGGGGTCTGGGTGTGAAGCCAAGTGGGGGTGTCTGCATCAGTCTCACCACATGCAGAGACCTCCCCCTTCCCCTAGCCCATTCTGTGTCCTGTGCTTGGGAGGCCTGATGGGGGAACCTCTGCTGATCACACATGGCACACTGGAGAGGCATGTCAGAGCTGAGACACCTGCTGACCTCAGTCTAAAGTCAAAACAGGTTCTAAGGGCTCCACGGGTACTGTAACCCAATTTTTCCCATCCTCATCTTTTCCCTTCAGCGTGTCTCTCTCTTCTTTGCCAGCCCTATTCCCAACTCCTTAACCCTAGCCACATTGCAACAGAACAATAGTCCATTAACAAGAAAGCCTTGTTTCTGTTGATCAGTGTTTTGGTTTACATAGAGATTTCACAATAACTGTGTGTTAGGTAGGACGCGTGTTAGGATCTGAGGCCCAGAGGATTTACATGCCTTGCCTGTAGTCACACACCAGTAACTACAGATCCTCCAACTCCAGGTGCATTGCTATTTCCATTTCCTTAGGCAACGTGGGGCAACCAGGCCAGGCTGAATCTTCTGCAGGTGACAATCTAAAAACCTGAGTTGGTCTCAGATTCACCCGAGAGTCCTTCTGGTCACTTCTGGGAGAGGTCTCAAGATCCTGGCCTGTAGAAAAAGGCAGAGACAGAGATCTTGGAAACTTTGCCTCTTTGAAGCCCCCTGGCTCTCTATTGTCAGTGAACAGGAATAGTGATACCCTTACTTATTGGTGGGGGGCAACAAGGAATGGGGGTGCTGTGGAAGGCACACCAGCAAAGGAGCACAACACCACAGGAGGGGAAAGAAGGCTGTATCTCTTGGGGCTCTGGGGAGCCTGGGGGGGCGGTGGGGCGTGGGGGAAAGCCGGGTACAGGACAGTGTCACAAGCTGTACACTGTACAACTCTAGGGGGCGCCATTCATACTTTCTGTCATTGTGGATTTGTAGATTTATTATGACAAGTTTCCTGCAGATGGCAGTAAAATGTCTGAAAGAAGGGCTCCTGTTTGGGCTAGGGGCTAGGCTGGGTCCAGGAGGAATTCACCATCCACCATCCTTCTAATATCACATCTTCAGGACCCTCCTTGTTCTTGGTAGCGATATCCAAAGATGGCTGAAGATGTGGTCCCCTCTTCATGGAGCTCACTCTAGTTGAGAGGAGGGCAGGGGGAAAAGAAATTACATTCTTGTGTGCGTTGTGAAAGAGGGGAGCGCAGGGACTCAGGGCTAAGGATTGGCCTCCCAGTTAACCAGTAGAAAGCATCCGTAGGATTTGTTCTTGGGGGCCTCTCAGCAGGTGCTGGTGAAATCACATCCCCAACTTCTGCTGCAGTGTGGCCTCCTCCAGGAAGCCTTCCCTGATCCCTGCAGCAAGACAGCAATTGTATTTCTGCCCAGCCCTGGTTTCAGTTGGCCTTGTATTAAAGTTCATTGTTTCTGGGTACGTTTCCCCCACCAGATCTGAGCTCAATGTGTCAGGAGTCCCATCATACCCTTCCTGGTGTTGCCCCAGGATCTCATTCTGAGAGTAAGGGCTTTAGAATCTAGAGGCCCCAGTGAGGGCTGCGCTTGCATGCCAGTGTTTGCCCTGCTTTCAGAGCCTAAGCTCAGCTGCTGGAGTCCCTCAAGGGCTTACTTCTGGGGAGACAGCCTTTGAAAGCACATGCGTGGTCAGAGGAAGGAGCCTGCTTCTCTGTGCCCATGTGTCTCTCCTCCAGGATGGAAGCTCTGAGAAGGGGCCTCTCTGCTTGTTCATTCATTCGTTCATTCAATAAAAAAAAAAAAAAAATGGATTGGGGTCCCTGGGTGGCTCAGTCAGTTGAGGGTCCAACTTCAGCTCAAGTCATGATCTCACAGTTCATGGGTTTGAGCCCCACATCCAGCTCACTGCTGTCAGCACAGAGCCCACTTTGGATCCTCTCTCTCCCTCTCTCTCTGCCCCTCCCTTGCTCGCTCTCTCTCTCACAAATAAACATCAAAAAATAAATACAATAAATAAATAAATTTTAAAAATGGATTTAATCCCGGCTGGGTGCCAGGCACCATGGAGACAAGTGGATCTGGAATCAGAAGACTTGGGCAAATGACTTCACTTCTTAGAGCCTCAGTTTTCTTATCTATAAAAGGGTGATGATGACATATGCTTTGAGTGATCATTGAATGAGAGTCGAACGTGTTAGACGAACACGGGTTAACATGCCTGTTACTGCACTTAGCGTGTCATTGTTGTAATTTCTCTGGGCCAACTAGGAGAGGCAGTGGAGTCTCCAGGAAGGCCTGTTTTC